AATACTCATATTGTACATGTACGTACATATTTCTCATGTTCAATGCACTTATTTTTTACAAAATTTTAAATAAGACACAAAAAATTTACATATTATACAAATAATTCTCACATATTATTGAATAAAAATTATATATATTAAAATATTATATAGTGGCCGATTAATATCTGCTTTGGATATGTTGAAACTAGCAAATTAATATCTATAAAGTATAAACTAATGCAACTAGGAGGGTGCTTTTTGCTTAAATAGTATAGCCATGCAGTGATACTACGATTTTGTTTTTAAAAATAGTATAGTCACTTGGCTATACGTATTTTGACAAGTGGCGCCTAACTGATAGAGGGTCCTTTTTTAAAAATGGTACAGCCGCATGGCTCTACTTGGTGTGTTTAGTTTTTATTTTTGAAAATAGTATAGCCGCTTTCTACAGTACCGTGTACTGAATGATCCTTGATTGAACTAGGCATGCACGACATAATGGGCCATAACAAAGACGTCAAAACGACCAAAGTTTCCTTCAAAAGGACCATAAGAAAGACTTCAAAAGGACCCAAAAAAATACAGGCTACAGCCCATACCAATTGCTGTATGGTAGATTAATTTGTTAATTCAACAACAAATTTTTTTTTTTGGTTGCCAACTTTAGAGCATGTCCACTTGGAAGGCACAGGCCCGAGCAAGAGGCCCACCAGGTCCTTAAATGTGTTTCCAGGGCCCAAGTCTTATCAAGGCAAGAGATGGGCTCCATCAACTTGGGCAAATCCAAAGGCATGACTTGCATGGGCAAGCTGCTCTAATATTGATGTCATTGTGACGTACGCAGCCAATTTAAATAACAAAAAATTTGAAAAATGAAGGAAAAAATACCAATATTTTCATAATTTTTTTAAAAATAAATACCTAGCCATATTCTTCAATTCCCACACCAAAAGTCTATACAAATCCCTCCTCATATTTCATGTAAATAGTGGTTGTCATGGCAATGGGTGGAAAACCAACAAAAAAAAAATTGTTAGGCATACACTATTCATGTAAATAGTAACAGTTCTTGTCTCTCCTTACGTTTTGCCATGGAAAATGGGTGGAAATGTTCTTAGGATGGGGAATGGGGTTTTCTCACACGCTACTAAGATATTATGAGGGTTCGTACCTGATACCACGGACTAGATTATGTTAGCAAAATTATACATGTGTTTATTACATATACTATTTAAATCGCATTCGTATCCTTATTTTTTGTTTAGAATTTCAGAATCATTTTTGTGGACTCATTTCAATGTATCCGTGGTTAATAGCTAGTTGGTTTAGCATCTTAGCGAACGAGGTTTTTTATTTATTTATTTATTGTGCTATCCTTTGCATCTCTAGGAGTAGCGAGTATGTTCCATGCTGCATTTGAGTTGTGAACGTACCAGTTTTTACATCTTCAAAACTGCAAGGTGCATCTTAATGGAACCCTAGTATAGAATGATGAACGATTTTATCTGACGGCTACAAACGTGTTCCCATACAAGCAAATTCGCGTTTGATCTAACGATCAACCATACTTGGACGGCTGAACTGCAGGCAAGTTATGAGCTAAGAGCCTCACGACAAGAAGAGGCTTCACCTCCACCTTCATGGCATGCGGCGCTGATAATTTATTCCTTGCTTATCCATTGAATATAATATCTACAAATCACATCCCAACACCTGGCATTAAGTGATAAACTTCATGCTCATGCATGCACATGATCCAAAAGGGGCAAAAACCATATAAGACAAAATAAGTATTGGTTGGATCATGTGCTTTTGGCCACATTCGGCTGGATATCATTAGTAGATAAGATAAGGTTTTAAGAAGCTGACTCCACTAAGAAAACCAGTCCTTGGTTTCTCATAAACCAGTCAATCCACATTTCTTATTTCTTTCTTTTGGTCTCTACCTAATATATTTTGTTTAATCAGCTTGGTAAATCAACCTATAAACCCTCTTTCATATTTAGCAACTATATCATAAACTTCAGTACACATATTAACAACTGACTATAATAATTTGACGTAATTTTATCGTTACATAACAAGGGTTGTAAATGTGATCTTTTTAATATTTGCTTTATTCGAAATAATGCATTCTTAGAAAGTAATTTCGATATATTTAAATATCTAAACCCATAATTAGTTTGTCTATTCTTTTTTAAAACCCATATTCAAATACAACCATGCTTACACAATGATTTTCCAAGTTTAGAGACTAATAAAAAGGCAAAAAAGCCAGATACATAACAAATACAAGGTAACTCCCCGACTCCACCAATTCTCCAAAACGCGGCTTTTACACCCAAAAATAAAATAAAAGTTCAAAATAAATAAAAAAATCATATAATTTTTTTTAAATAATTAAATAAGCAAATAAGCAAAAACCCGCTAAAAACCACGCACGATCCACGGCTTCTCCGCTTGTTCCAGCTACCTTCCCAGACCGCAAATGCCGCTACCACTCAACCATCAACCTATAAATACCTCACTACCCGCTACCCCTCTCCATCAACCGAAATTCAAAATTCTGTTTGTTTGTTTCCCGAGAAAAACCAAACGAAAAGAAAAGAAAATTGCACTCCAATTCAATTCAATGTCGAACCAGGGATATCGATCTCAATCTCCGACGAGCACTCTGCGCCACAAGCGTCAATCCAGGTCGATTTGCCTCCCGGCCTGCTTCTCCAGCATGAGCACTCACCCCTTCGATGTTCTCCAGAGCGAGGGCGACCACTGCAACAACTGCAGCAGGTCTCGGTCGCCGTTGCCGGAGATCAAAGACCGGTGCTTGAACCTCATCTCAAGGATCAGCGGC